AAGCTTCTTCTTCCTTCCGCAAATCAGCCACCATCAACAACCCCATGTAACTCGAACAAGATATGAGCTGAGCCGGAGGCTTCTTCATCCTCTGTATCGACATCGGCGACATATCTGTCTCAGTCCAAGGATCCAAGTTGACGCATTCTCAGAGAAAGGGAGACAGATCGGAAATCGGGCATGATCTTCGCATGTCATCCATTGTCGATTTTGAAATTGATTGGCGATGCGACAATTTTGGGATGGTGGAAGCAGCGAAGGTTGGAGCTCATGGAGCGGTGGCTGAGTCGGGAAATTGATTTGGTGAAGAGGCGGAGTGGCCGATCGGAAGGAAGATGGAGGGTCGGAGGAGAGGAAGGGGCTTTTGAAAAGGGGAATGTGCAGACGGAAGAGTAGTGGTGGTGTGGGCTAGCGGCGGAGCCGAATAGAGAGAAGGTTTATTATTTTGTTTCAAAAAAAATAATATTAATGATAATAATTTTTTAATGCACACATAAGGTATTTAATAGTCAAACATAACTGTTGACCGCCACGTATGACAGATTTAACGGAATTAGACGGCGAGTGACCAAAGATGACATAAATGAGTAGTAACGGGGCTAAATTGAAAGGAAAAGGATTTGGGTGGCTAACAAGTTACAAATAGATAATATGAGTGGCCAAATTTGCAATTCATCCTGATGAAATGATTCATTAGAAATGATTCATGCCTTTCAATCCACATCACGAGCCCTCCATTGCCAACGATGACTACCATCGATCCAATACCGCCAAACCCCTCTAGAGCCACAGCCAATCCACCATTCATCATCCCCTCCATCACCATTCCAAAGAGACCTCCGACAATCCCTACACCGCCGCCACTGAAATCTTCTTAGGCGACCTCAATCGGTAGTTACAGTTCAGATTCTCGATGAAGGCAAGGGATAGGCTGAGGCAATAGTGCAGGAAGCTTCCTGGTTGTGGATGTTTTTTTTCTATCGGTGGTGCGTGGATCACTGATATGTGAGATTTGTCGAGCTAGGGTTCACTTGGGGAAATGCGATGGCGGAGGAGGGAGAAACTGAGAAAGGGGTCGTTGGGAATTCGATGGTAGAAACGAACTACAATTCCTTAGTGCGATTCGTTTCCCCTTAAGACAAGACCATCTTTGAACTTTTTCTTCATAAAAAGCTTCTGGATTTTGTGTTAATTTGGAGGAAAGGGGGGTGGGGGTGCGAGAGGGTTTAGGGGAGGCAGAGTAGGTTGATTCCGAGGGAGAGAGGTGACGTTGGGTTGGGTTTTGGGTGGTTTGTTTAATAAGTTGGGATTGAGTATTGGATTTAGTATTAGGAGAAATTCGATGATGTGGCAAGGTTTATGTGGTTAAAAAATAATTCTTTATTCAATCCATTAGTTGGATGGATTGAAATATTGACGGATGCACAATTTAATGAGTTTATTGGTATCCAGTGCCCTATTCTAAATTAAGTGGTATAGCTCCACCAAATTGAGAAGTTTAATGGCACCCCATGTATTTTACCCCGGATAATGACAACACTGGTGAAGTTTCTGATGGAGTCGAGAACGAGACCGACCAATCTGATGTTATAGAGGAAGAGCCAAAAGAAATCAAAGTATATGCAGGACTGATGGAAGCTGGATTAATGAACACCCTCAGCAAAACTATGTAAGCGATGGTTTTCCATATTATCTACTAATTCATAGCTTTACCTCTGGATATGGTATTGAGTGGTCCTAAAATCTATGATAACCAATGTGTTTGTGCATAGGAGGAGATGAAGAGAATGTCTGTTGAAGTTTTACAGGAAGGGAATCCACTATCTGGTGCTGAGGTTGTTCGCATTGTGCTGTAGAAAGCTCCAAGTTATGCCACAAAAGAGAAACCACCAACTGAAAGGGAGAAGGATCTGGAGGCACGATTAGAAACTTATGTCGCTGCCGGAGAGCAACAGAGGAAATAATTTGAGAAAAAAATAAATGCTCAGTAGAAATAGATAGAGTCTCACCAGCAGCAGATAGAGTCTCAGCAGGAGGAGATACAAGCTCAAAAGTAGATCATAGTGTCATTGCGCACTTCCCAAGATGAACTGAAGAAGTATGTTGAGTCATAACTGGCAGAACTTTGTGGTAAAAGAGTTTAGTTCAAGGTAAATACATTTTTCAGACGTTTTATATATTGTGAAGTTTGATGAACTATCGTTGCTAGTTTAGTCAACATGCTTGGAAAGAACAAACTGGTTATAATGTTAGAATTATGTGTTGTCTGTACAGGTATTTCTCGGGCAGAGGGAAGAAACATCACCACATTTTGGTTCCTCTAGGGTGATGTCAGTACCAGTAGAACTTGTTTAAGATTTTTGTTGATTTGGTATGAACAACTCTTGGTATGAACAACTATTTAAGAATTATGTTTAAGGCTCTAGGGTGATGTGCTGGAAATCCTCTAATGTAATGGATGTTCTGCAAATTTACGAGAATAGTATGTAATGAATGTTCTTGCAGATGTTAATGATAATGTCGGTATGTTGATGACTATTATAGATTTGTGTGTGGGAGCAGGTTTATTAATGGTAGGCAATGCAATGTGTCCATCCACTTCTAATGATAGAGTGAGTTGTCATGAAACCGCCGTAATTTGGTCATGATAGTTATTTTGTCAAAAAAACGTGGCCACCTCCATTGATGATGTGACAAAACATAACCTATTATGACAAATTAGGTAATGTATTTTGACAAAATATGTCATCATAATAAACATAAATTTTTAACAAACAAAAGTCGACGGAATAACGTTGATGAAGTTATGACAAGGATTTTTTTGTTATAGTAAAGTTATTTTGACGAGGTAGTCGTGACGAACAGTTTGACGAAAATTTTCGTCATAATAAATCTATTATGACAAAAAATATTCTTATTACGAAAAAATATCCTTGTCAAACCTAACTAAATTTGGTGTAGTGAGGAGGGGCATATCCAATGTCAGGGCACCGTCAGATCAGTTAAGAGGGTAATCGTCGATGCTCCATTTTAACTGAGTAGTTTCTCGATGCATTTACTTCTAATGGCTATAAATAGGAGGTGGAGATGACATAGCAGGGGTTCGCTAAATTCACACCAGACAACACAATGTCAACTGTTGTACTTTTATCTTTTTCTCTGCAAATTTAGTCATAGTGGTAGTTCCGAAGCTCTAAATGAACCTTCACAGGAGTAGACTAATTTAATTTAGTTTCATCTCGTAGATAATCAAAAATGTCGAACACCCTTGTTTGAACTTTGCTCAAAGAGGTGTGAACCGCGTTTAGAAATCGTTTGTAAGAACTAGTCCAGGTGCAATCAGTTCCATTTCACCACAAGTGTTCTCGTCAGAAAACATATAGTGAACGATAATACTAATATACTTAAACTAATGAACTTAATACTACAAATAATTATTAATATGACACCCAGATGAAGAACAACCATAAGCCCATATAAATGTGAACTTTGAATTGAGTTTTCTGAGTTGATGAGAATGAGTTAGCCGCGGGACACTGTAAGGAAGTTTTGATAATTAAGAGAGGATGGCGCGCAGGCTAGTGAGGTATTCGTGCATGTCTTCGGGGTGATCGTCGAGCTTGGGGCGCTCAGGTTGCATCCAACGGCCGTCCTGCGTCCTGATCAACCCTTTGTTGTGGTCTTGCCGCCAGAAGGGCGGAACCATGTGATGGTCCTGCAGAAAATCGGATCCCTTGTTCACCAATGCAGGGTCCCTCCCGCTTGCCAGCGCGAATCTCTGCCCTTTCCCATGATACCTGATAATAATCAAGCACAAATGATGACATTGGCAAGGAGAAGAAAGGTACACTGATTAATTGGTCATTATGCTACTGTTTGATTCTATGGTAACTTTTACCAATGTGGTTGAAGGTTGGTGTTTTGTAAGCAAATGTAGTTTGGAAAAAAAGTAATCGAATGTTCAAGTCGAATAAATCAACGTCAGACCATATATTTTGTGTTTAAACTGTGGCGCAATCAGTGGAACTTTTTTTTTCCAATAAGACCATGATATGATTTTGAATATATGGATACAAATAATGGCATAAAATAGGTGAAAATAATAGCAAGTGGAAAAAATTAATAAAATACTAAAACTTAGAAAATAGTAATTTTAGAGGAAGTCTTGGAAAAGTGGGTTAACACATAGGTTGTGTTTGCTTCATCATTTCAGCATCGAACTTTAAGTGCTTTTTTTCGTATTTTTCTCAATTTTAGGGTAGAAATATTATCCACTTTGATATGCAAATTGTTATTGATAAGTATATTCAACTTGTTAATAATGATGTCGCATAACATTAATAATTTATTTATAAGCGTTGATAGTGATAATATAAATTACTGTAAGAGTTTATGATTGTATGTCATTAATAAAATACGACATAAAGTTAATAATAATATAGCTAAAAAATTTATGAACGGCTAATCAACACTTATCCGGCCGGCCTCATTAAAAATCCAGTCCCATTTATAAAATTCAAATAGGGCCATTGTTTTAAAATATAATAATTAACACTAAAATGCTAATTATCTTAATAACTTGTTAACCACTAATCACCTATTAACTACCTAAATTAATCTAAGCATCCTGAATGATTTTAGATGTTTTTAAGTTATAAACTTTACAGAATTAAACCGGCAAAGAAACCTAGAATTCCTGCATTATTTGATTTTCCGTCCCATCAGTAATGTCAGAGCTATGTATCCAAATCTGAATGGCGACTTTACTATTATACATTAAAAAAGAACAGCTATGTATTCGAATCTCAGTCAAATCAGCTACCCATCACGACAAACAAATCTCCCTGTCCTCCCTCATTGAGAAAAAAAAATTAATTGCTTTGCAGTCAACACTTCATAGGGCCATATGAGATTTAATTGGGTTTATGATTAAAAGTTATGCATGGCATGGCATATAATTATATTTGGGTAGATTACGTATTAATATAGTATTTTTATGTTTAAATTATGATAGAATAGATATTCACATTGTAACTTGTGTTGTAAGATACAAAACAAGAAAAGAAAAGGAAAGAAACTGACCCGTCCAGCAAGTGCAAATGGGCCTCCAAGTTGTGAGCAGAAACCAGGTCGGACGTGGGCTTAAGAAACGGCGAGCTCTTGTGATCCAGCTCCAGCTCAACTCCCACGTGCGAGTAGCACCAGGGCAGCCCCTCCGCCAACTTGGTCAGCACACGTGGCACATCCTCATTGAACAAGAACCCCGGACATCTGGGCACAATATCATGCACGTTCACCACCCTCAGCACTAGGGCTGTCACTCGGTTTTCCGGTTAGCGGCTAACCGGTCGGTTTCAACCGAACCGACCGGTTTTCGGCTAGCCGAAAAACCGATTTTGAAGAGGTCGGTCGGTTGTCGGTAGAGGAAAGCAGGGGTCCGGTTAGCCGAGTAACCGAAGCCGGTTAACCGCGACTAACCGGCCGACCGACCCACAACCGAAAATATAAAAAAGAGAAGTTTAACCCTCCACTCCAGCTTCTCTCTTTCTTCGACTCTTCTTCTCTCTTTCTTCCCTAACTCCTTCGACTCTTCTTCTCTCTTTCTTCCTACAAATCCTTCCACTCCACAGCAGATCCGACCCTCACCTCTCCTCCTCAGTTAACTCCTTCGACTCTTCTTCCTCTGCATGGAGGCCAGATCCTCGCGCCGAGCCAGTCGCCGAGCCAGTCGCCGCACCTCGCTCCGCGTCGCCGCGCCCGTCGTTGACCTCGCTCCCGTCGCCGCGCCAGTCGCCGAGCCAGTCGCCGCGCCCCGCGCCCGTCGCCGCGCCCCGCGCCCGTCGCCGCGCCCCGCGCCCGTCGCCGCGCCCCGCCCCCGTCGCCGCGCCCCGCCCCCGTCGCCAACACCAGCAGAATCGAGAGAGAGAATCGAGGGAGGAGGCGAGAATAGGGAGAGAGAGAGAGTCTGGGAAGAAGAATCGAGGGAGTTGGTTGTTCGATTTTCCTTCTAGAGGAAGAAGAGAATAGAGAGAGAGTAGGGAGAGAGATGGTCTGGAAAGAGAATTGAGAAAACGTAGGGGAAAGAAGAATCGAGAAACAGAGGGTTAGGTTAGGAGTGTGTGGTGCAGATTTATTGTTAATTTCTTTTTTTTTTTTTTTTTTTTTAAAGGTAGTATCCGGTTGGCCGGCTAACCGAGCCAAAACCGGAAACCGGTCGGTCGGTTTGCGGCTAACCGAGGCTCACGGACGGTCGGTTGTCGGTAGCTCTGGTCGAGTCTCGGTTTGACCGATAACCGACAATTCGGTTTTCGGTTAAACCGAAACCGGCCGAGTGACAGCCCTACTCAGCACCTTCACCCCTAGAAAATCCAGCCTCTCCTTGAACCGCACGTTCCCGACCCGAGGACCCGAAAACGAAAACACACAGATCGGGGCGGGCCGACCCGACCCCTCCCCTTCCACCAGGTTCAGCCCGGTCTCCGCAATGTCGTACGCGCTCAACGTCGCCAGGGCGCTCCCCAAGCTGTGCCCCGTTATCGTGATGCTCACCTCCTCGCCGGCGCCGTCGTACTTCTCCGTCAGCCGCTTCACCTCCGTTAACACCTGTCGCAAGCGGGAACGAATAGAATGGTGAAGTTTCTTGTTAAAACTTCTAAAAAAATTTCTATACGATTTCTTCTTTCCACACCAACTATTATTTGTAATTTTATAATTTTGACCAATCATAATTATTGATTTTCACTTTGTGATTTGAAGAATTTGGTTGAAGCAACCTTTGGAATTTGGATGAATGGATAATTATTGATTGATTGCTTGAGTTGTACAGGAGGTTTCTACACTACTTATACAGAAGGAAAGATAATAAACAATAGGGTTAATATCTTTGTTTGGTCCAAATTATAGACAAACTTTCTACTTTGGCCGATGGTATTGAAAATTGCTATTCTGACCTAAATTATGTAGCATACTTCCTTGTTTGGCCCGGAGGCGGGTTTGACTGTTAGTCAAAGTCCAACTCACTTGCCACGTCAGCTGGAAGAGAATATTTTTTTAATTTCTGTATTTTGTTTCTTTATAAAAAAAAATTATGTACTTTGTTTAATTTCTAATAATAAAAAAAATTAATATTATAAAAAATTATATATGATGAATGTCAATCACATCTTCCACACCACCAACAAAAAAAAAATGTATGCTAAAAATTATTTTTTTTTTATAATATTAATCTTTTATTATTAGAAAGTAAACAAAATACAGAAATTTAAAAAAAATATTTTTTATTCTCTGCTAGCTGACGTGGCAAGTGAGTTGGACCTTGAATAATGGTCAACTCGGTTGACCGTCTAATTTGACGATTTAACCCGCCTCCGGGCTAAATAAGGAAGTATGCTGCATAGTTCGGGCCATGATAGCAATTTCCGATACCACATGCCAAAGTAGAAAGTTTGTCTATAGTTCGGGCCAAACTAAGGTATTAACGCTAATCAATAAGAAGAAACATGTTGGGAGTATGGGTGCGGCCAGGAGTAGTATGGGTTGTCTGGTAGTACCATGAGATTTCTGAAGTAGTATGGGTATTCTGTTGCAGTTGTCTGGTACAAGTGAATAAATAATGATGATGGTATGGTGGATAGTGGTGAATGTTGTAACAAACAATATTGATGATTTCCTTCAAAATTAAATAAATCTTATGATTTGGGTTATAGAGTTGGCGATTAAGGTTCCTTAGATGTTAGTATGTGATAAAATAACTGTTGACATAGGCTAGTTTGAACTAATGTTGTACGGTAACTTTTGCCAATTAATTTTAAATACTATTTTTGGTTGCATTAAATAATATTACCTGTTCCCTGGCGGAGTACTTGCAGAAGTGGCAGGAATCGTCTTTCTCGGTGTAGAGGTCCACGAACCCGGACTGAACCTTCACCCTCGGATCGCGAGACGGGATCTTTTTCCCGTCGACGGGCTTGAGATAATTCATGAGATCCGCGAGCCACTCGAGGCGCGTGACGGTCCCCCGCCACGCGATGGCGATGTCACGCCGGCCGAGGACTCGAGACGTCTCGTCGTCCGAAACGGCGACGTATCCGATCCAGTTGGCCTTGGGGCTCCAGAGGTTGGGCCAGCGGGATTTGGTGAAGAAGTTTGGGAGGCGGATGTTGGCGGTGGCGTAGAGGTAGCGGGTGACGTCGTAGCCGTGGCGGGTGAGGTGGAGGGAGTCGAGGAAAGCGCGTCGCGGGAAGCGGCAGCCGCCGAAGTAGTAGGAGAAAGGGTCGTAGTCGAAGGCGTCGTAGCAGGACTGGGCCATCTCGCCGTAGCGGATGAGTTCGGAGCGGAGGAGCGGGTCCATCGGGTCGAGGAGCCCGGCCCAGTCGTATTCCCCGTGGACTTGTCTCCACGCGTGCGAGAGCTTTGAGTGGGAGGAGCAGGAGGAGGAGGAGAGGACTTTTGGTAAGCAGGTGGTGGGCAGCTTGTTGTTTGAGTTTGTGGCGAGGGCGGAATAGGTAGGGGGAGGCTGGCCGGAGAAAAAACCGTGGGTTTGTGGGGACGCGGGGGCGGACGAGGAGGAGGAGAAGTCGGTGGAGCGGCGGGGGTGATGAGGGAGGAGAGTGGCGGAGAGAGAAAGAGCCATGGCAGTGGGATACAGTACAGGGAACCTGCGAGAGAAGTGTGGTTACAGTAAGGAATATGGTTGCGGAGGTGGTGTATAATTTGGACAGAGGAGAGGAGCATGCAATTATTGATTGACAACTTCTGAGAAGAGAGAGTACGTGGGCTGGTTATTTTGGACTGGATTTGAACGAGCTAGCTACCTGCAGCTGGCATGCCTCATAATTCAAAGATTAGTTCTATTTGTTTAATGCCTCGAGGGAAACAGGAATTGGATAACAAATGCTGCTGTATGATTTGATTTGATTTGGTTCTGGAATATTCAATATTCACGTAAGTTGCAAATAAAATTTTCCAGTTGCTGACAAATTATCAACGTACAATATTTTATTTGTTTTAATCTGGAATTCACTTTTTTTTTCTTCTTATTTGTACTCTATAGTAAGACATTCACAATTATATTAATAATATTATGGGTAAATGACACATTTGGTCACTGAGATTATAAAATTGTGTCATGTTTAGTCACTAGAAAAAATTAATATCAATTTTGGTCACTCGAATTACCGAAACTGGTCAAATTTAGTCACTCTCCCGTCAGTTTCCGTCCAACTCCATTAATGTAGTTGGACGGAAACTTTTGGGAGAGTGACTAAATGTGACATGTTTCAGTAATCCGAGTGACTAAATGTGACATTTTTCAATAATCCGAGTGATCAAATGTGACCTGTTTCAGTAATTCGAGTGACCAAAATTGATATTAAATTTTTATAGTGACTAAATATGACACGATTTAGTAATCTCAGTGACCAAATGTGTCATTTACCCATAATATTATTATAGTGGTTCGATAGAAGACATGTAGAGCAAATATTACAAGTGGCAACGGACAAGGAAACAAGGACTTAGCCTATTAACCAATTAGGCCATCAACTTATGAGCATTTTTACTATGCTATATAGCATTGATGTTTTAATGTACAACTTGAAGTTGTACCATAACATTAAATGTATAAGTTTAAGTTGTTTTTTTTTTTCCAAGAAATGTCAAGAGAGAACCTATACACACTACCCAAACCCTGCCCAACCCATACATTAGCGAAGCCAATCCACAAAGTCAAAGGAGAACAACTCTAAAGGGGAGAGAAACAGGGCTTTCTGCGCCACTCTATGGGCAGCCCTGTTCGCAGTCCGGGGGACTGCCCTAAACTCTAAGGAAACAGACACTGAAGATAAAAGAAGAAAGCAATCCCGAAGCACCGGACCTCCAATGGAATCAGATAATACACCTTGACGCAGCTGATTAATCACCACCTCTGAATCTCCTTCAATGATGACCCGGGATAGCGATTTGGAGACCACAAGGAAAATGGCGGCTCTAGCAGCAAGGAGTTCTGCAAGGTAGGGATCAGCAATACCAGGGTGAAGAGCACCTACAGCCAACTCCACACGCCCGTCTGAACCTCGCACCACTAGACCAGACGAGCATCCAGAGGAGCGAACAGCAGCATCAAAGTTAATCTTCAGAACGCCAACAGGAGGAGGGGACCAGGGAGAGCGGCGAGAGAGGGACGGCTGGAGCAGGGGAGCAGGGACCAAAGGGAGGGAGGAAGACAGTTCTTGAAGTTGGAAAAAACACTGACGAGCGAGAGACTGGGCAAGAGGTTGGACATGTTCAAAGACCACCTTATTTCTAGACTTCCAGATCCTCCATAAAACACACACGAACAGGAGGATATGGGTTTGGGGGTGCTCGGAAAGCATAACATGTCGCCACCAGAGACTGAAATTCACAGTCGGGGCCGAGGAGATGAAATCATTTAATCCCATAAGCGACCACAATCTTGTGGCCAGGGGGCATTTGAAGAACAGATGTTCAATACTTTCCGGTTTTCTCCAACACACAGGGCAACAGACATGACAATTAACTCCTCTAGATTTGAGTGCTACTACTGTTGGCAGTATCACTCTAAGGCACTGCCAGATAAAGAATTTCAGCTTTGGAGGAGTTGGAATATCCCAGGTTTTCTTCCAGATAGGAGGATCAATGATCTGGACCAGAGGTTTTCGGCTAGCGGATAATGAGATGTCAAGAGCTAGATGATATCCCGATTTGACTGTATAAAGACCATTTTTTGTAAAATGCCAAACTCTCATATCTCTTTGATGGCATCTAGGGAGTGGGATTTTACAAATAAGGTTAACCGTTGAAGACTCAAAGCAATAGTGTAATCTTGGGACATGCCACTCACCTCTATTTTCCTTGATGAAAAAGGAAACTCTCGGGGAATTAGTTATGTTCGGGAGGCGGACCAAAGGAGAGATGGGTTTATCTGTAATAACCCACTTAAATGGTGGCCATGCACGCGACGAATGTGGCCACCAGCATTCGCCAGCTCGACTTGGCATCCGGCAAGATGCAAGCGAGTGAATACTCGGATGGCCAAGGCGGGGGCGGGACCAGATCGTAGTGGTCTCCGGCTCTCTTTCGAGCAGGCTTAGCTGCCTGCAGTTTCGGCCGCCACTCCTCCTTGATCTGTACTTTTGGTGATGGAGTGGTCAGGAGTGGCGGCGAAGGTGCGAGAGGCGGGTCCTGCAAAATAGGCAACACAGAAGGATACACGACAGACTCGTGCTCCTGGTGAGATACAGTATGCAGAGGTAACGGAGCAGGTAGAGTATTAGCAATTGAAAATGTTATTCGCTCCTCGCCATTCCTCAAAACTAAGGTCCCATCATGCACATCTATGAGAGCCTTGGCGGTGGCCAGGAAAGGCCTTCCCAGTATAAGGGGCACGTCTGTGTCCTCATTGATGTCCAGGACAACAAAATCCACAGGATATTTGAATTTGCCAACCTTAACCAGAAGGTCTTCCACTATGCCCCTAGGATGCACTACAGATCGGTCAGCTAATTGAAGGGTCATCCTAGTAGCACAGGGTTCACCTAGGCCTAGTTTCTTGAACAATTTATATGGCATAACATTGATACTAGCACCTAAATCCGCCAAGGACCTCTCCACATGCAATTTATCAATAGAGCACGAGATAGTAAAACTACCTGGGTCCTTCTTCTTATGCGGAAGCTTGTTTTGCAGAATAGCCGAGCACTCCTCGCTGAGCTCCACAGTGGCCAGCTCACTCAGCTTCTGCTTCTTCGAGAGAAGCTCTTTCAGAAACTTCGCATACTTAGGCATTTGTGATAGTGCCTCCAGGAAGGGCACTTGGACATTCAGCTTCTTAAGCATGGCCATGAAGTTTTCGAACTCTGCCTCCAGCCTGTCTCTGTGCAACCGAGTAGGGAAGGGAAGTTTCGGGATATACTCCTTCACTACCGGTTGCGGATTAGGTGCAGGCACCTCAACCTCCTTCTCTGCCTCTTCTTCAACCGCTGGAGATGCTAAGACAGGGGTTTCTCTCTCTAGTTCTCGAGCAGGTGGATCAACAGTCACCTTGCCACTCCTGGTCATGATAGCATTGCAGTGCTCATTCGGGGTCGGCGGATGAGGGATGGTCTGCCCGGGTAGAGTACCAGGAGCCCGTTGAGCCACTGCCTGAGCCATGCTCCCCAGCTGGGTCTGGATATCATGCAAGACAGCCTGTGTTTTCCTCTGGACCAGCTTCAAGAGCCAAGAATTTACCCGAGGCCTTCTCCTGAACTGCTCAATAGTGTTGAATTTCTGAGCACTAGAACTGGCGAGAGAACCCCACCAAGTCCCGCAGTTCAGCAACTGATCAGTCTGCAACTGGGCAGCAGGGGTTGCACCTGGCTGCTGGAAAGGTCGCGGCTGTGATTGAGCAGCATGCCCCGGCATGGGCTGGTAGAGAGGCTGTTGCTGCTGGAATTGCCCCAGTTGGGCTGATATGGTGGCCTCTGGGAAACCCGGGTGGTCCCTGGGGAACTGGTGGTCTGGAATTGCCCCACCCCAGGAGAAGTTAGGATGCTGGCGCCACCCCTCATTTGTAAGTGTTACTGTAGGGGTCATTGCGCCTGAACGTTGTTGATGAAGTTTCACCTGCTCCTGGGTGTGGTTGATTCCTTCATCGCCTGACAGTCCTCCACGGTTGTGATGAGAAGCTCTCACACCACTGGCAGTGCATCGCCTGCGGCTGTCCTGTACCTGCAATCAAACCAGAGCGATCGATAGCTGAAACCAGCTTCGATACCACCTGCACCAAATCAGATGACTGGGTGCCTACAGCATGCACACCCCGTCCTGGCGCTCGTCTCGATCTCCTGGCGGTGCCCCAATCGTACCCGTTCTCCGCCATCTCCTCAAAGAGTTGATTCAGCTTGTGGCGGGGTTTTTGGTCAGCATGTTCCCGCCACAAACTGAGTCAATCAGCTGCTGTCCTCCGGGAAGAGGGCGTGATAGAAGGTGCCCACCTTGATAGGAATCATTGAAGCCCATGATTTGGACACCTCAGAAGGAGACTGTTGTACCTCTCCCATGCATCCCTGATGGTCTCATCCTCATCCTGAGCAAAATGGGTAATTTGCTTCTGCAGGTCAGCTGTCTTGGATGGAGGATGGTAGCGGGTGAGGAACTTGTCCGTCAGGTTGGCGAATGTGGTGATGGAGCCCGGAGGTCGAGTGTCTAGCCACTCCTTGGCTTGCCCCTCTAGAGTGAATGGGAAGTACCTCAGCTGGATGGCATCTGCTGGTACCCCATTGATCTTGATTCCATCGATGAGCTCGTGGAATCGCCTGAGATGTGATCGGGGGCACTCTCCCTCCTTACCACGAAACACCACTGAACCGCGCAGCATGGTGATTACTGATGTGCTCACCTCAAAATTGTAGTAGTTCTCCCGACTGGCTACGGGTCATGCACTACCTGCACACAATCAGCAGAAGCAACCCGTGAAGGCACACAGGTGGAAGAGAAAAAATGCAATAAAGAAAAAGCTAGAGTAACAAATTCTCACGTTTCCCCAATAACCTAGAGGGGTCCCCGGCAACGGCGCCAAAAAAACTTGACACGCCAAAACACAACACCAAACTGCGACCAAGTGTAATCGCA